ATTGTTGGAGGATAAGTTATTTTTTATTAATGGATAATTTTTCATTACTCAAACATATTCAATATAAATATATAGACTAGTTAAATCACAAAATCCTTTATATTCTTTATTGTGCTATCAGTTATTAATTGATAAAATATGTATTAGGTATTTTATAAGTCGAGATATATTTGCACTTCATTTTTAGATTAAATCAATATAACGGCTTTAATATACACCAGTGAGTACTAGTGTGTTTAACTGACTTTATTATAGGTCCGATTTACGCCGCAGTTATAACATCGATGTTATAACTACTGACTAGTTACCTACTACATCGATGTAATAATTTCGCCGCAAAAAAGCGTTTACACGGCATTTAACGGCAGTAGTTATAACATCGACGTAAATCGGACGTGTAAACGTAGACAAATGATGAACACAGTAAACATTTTTTTAACAAATTTAAAGTCTATAAAAATTGTTACACTTTTTAATAGTTACATTAATTTTACAATTATTTTAAAAATATATATACGATACAAGAAAATTCTTTTTAATAAAAAATTCTAATTTTATTATTCTTACATTATTACAAAAATGATTTAAGACAATTTTTCTTAGGAATTTGTTGTTTCAAGCTTTCTAGAAAAAACAAAAAAGTTAAATTTTTCAATAAACTGATTACTTATTTAAGCTTCTACTGTCAAAGCGTTTTTATTAATAGAAAAGTAGTTGATTAAAGAAAAATACATTTTTATATATAACCACTTATTTGTCAAAAATCCTTTTTTAATGACATAAACCTATAGATCGTCACTGCGTTCGTTAGTTTCGCTCCTTCATTGCTTGAAGACTATAAATTAAACTTTTTCTCGCTTATATCTCTTATATCTTTTCAAAATTCTTTTAATGTCTGACAACATTATATAGAAAACTTCTATAGAAAGCTAATAATTTTAAAAATTTCAAATAAAATGCATAATAATGTGTAGAGGAAAGTCCCCTATTATGAGATACCACATCTATTTTGCGTGATTGCCGGAAGTTTATGTGTAGAATTGAAAAATGTAATAGGCAAGTGCACGCACGATCGAATAATGAATTTTCCACTAAATACATTTTACTCTAAGAGCAATAAGTTCATAATGGAACCAACGGATAGAACCTATTAGTTTAGCAGAAACTCCGCTATCGCATATTAGAAGCCTATCTCATAATAGGGGACTTTCCTCTACTAATTAAGAAATAATTAAAAATGTTCACAATTAAAGCATCTGTATTGAAATAGTGCATAAATATATAAAAAATGTAACAATTTTATTTCAGGAGATCAAATAGAGTAATATAAAATTGATTTAATTATATAATTCTTATTTTTATATCAAAATAGGATTGAAGAACATAAACGCAGTGCCACCCAATGTGCCACTGGCCGAAATGGGTATGGATTCGATGATGGCAGTAGAAATTAAGCAAACATTGGAAAGAGAATTTGATATTTTCTGGACAGCGCAAGACATTAGAACACTAAATTTTGCTAAACTTAGTCAAATGACAATTACAACCGAGCAAGGAAAGACACATAATACAAACAAAATTAATGAAGATTTTAACATGCTGTTTCGAAAAATGAAGGATTCAGATTTTGTTCCAGATATTCTTGTAGAACTTGCTACAAAAAAGGAGATTGGTAGGAACAATGTTTTTCTCTTACCAGGAATCGAAGGATATTCAAGTGTATATAAGTCTATAGCATCAGAAATTAAATCTTCGGCAACGTGTTTGCAACATGGTCTACTTAATATTGCTGACGAAAGTCATTCAGTGATAAAGTCAGCCGCTTATTTGCTGCCTGTAAGAAGATTAACGTTACTTATAAAATATTTATTTAATTATTCTTAAATAAATGTATACATATATATATAAGTAATATCTAACAATTACAAGTTTTTCATATTATTATAGCTTACATATACATTTATATTTATTTTCTTAGCACTTATTGAAGAAAATGAAAGATCAAAGAGAATTTCTAATAGTGGGTTATTCGTTCGGATCCTTAATTGCCATCGAATTAGCAAGATTATTAGAAGCTAAT